AGGTGACATGCTAGAGAATCGGGAATTGGCAAGGAATCTTTGGAATTGTGATTTTTTAAGTGGGAATTTTTTAAAAATAACGAATTTAAGGGAATTTTACTGATTTCCGTGTGATGGATGATCGACGATCGATCACAGTAATTTGAAAAGCACTGTAAACAAACACAAAAAACAGAAACTGTTTTTTTACCATTCCTAGTTGAGTGTAATGTTTTTTTTGGTTAAAATTTATGGCTATGTGGGTTAGTGTTTATTAGTAATTTGTTCATTATCATGATATGAAATCAATAAAAAAACTACGTACACATAATTAAAATTAAAATATCATTATAATCCAATGCGACACTGCATACTTATTCTCCCCTTAAACAACTCAAGCGCCTAGTTTAGGCCATACAAATTTTTTGTTTTGCATTACATGAATTTCAAAATCTCCGGTTGGTCGGTGGGATTTTTTTATTATTATTTTTTTTATCGTTCTATCGGGTAATTCCGGGGAAATAAGGACTCTATCGGTACAGAACCGTTGATGTTATTACATAAAAAAACAATTTTACAATACCGGATCATTCAGGTAGTACATGTTATGATTATAATCCAACACTATAGTAATAAAAATGGTGTAAAATTGTTTTTTTATACGTTGCACTCCGTGTGAAAAATCAGTCGTAATAACATCAACGGTCTTACCTCGGACGATACTAGATTAATTTATGGAAAAAAATTAAATAGCAAAAATAGGATAATAGAATAGTTGGCACAATTGGGACTTAAAAAAATTTTTTTTGAAGAAATGAGTCGAAGAAATGAGACGGCAAATAATGCAAAACGAAAAATCAACTTTGCGTGGCCTGATATAAAATATTTTTAATTTTATAATTATGAGTCTTCAGAATTTCCAAAATTAAATTTTGTACGTACGTACAGTACAATATTTTGATTAAATTTGTAATAATTGAGTACTCATATATAGAGAGAAACAGGATTGCATAATGCATCATGCGAAAAACGTTGCACGATGTAATGCAAAGGCAAAACAACTTGCATTCGTATTCTTGATAATGCGAATAGATTTATTTTGGTAAAATTAGGTTTATAAAAATGAGGTATCTACTGCTTTCAATAAAACTTGATTTGTCCATGATTAGTTCTTAACTATATATAACCAACCACCTTCCTGTTGCTTCTGTTTTAAAGGTCAACCGTTTTTTTTTTCTTCACTTGCTAGTTTCGGTTTAACTCACTTTTTTTTTTTTCCTTACAAAGAGTAGAAAAAATATAAAAAATAAAATAAATAAAATAAAATAGTCGTAAAGCTTTAGAACTTGACTGGTCGTTTTATAATCGTTTTTCATTACAAACACGTTTTACATTCTACTTGTTCCTCCCTAACTTCAACTTTCATAGTCTTTACCCCTATATAAATAAACTACTCTATATGATATGAAAGGAATGAGAGGAATCATTCAAATACAAGCCGGTCAATGCGGTAACCAAATAGGTGCCAAATTTTGGGAAGTTATTTCAGAAGAACATGGTATTGACTGCACTGGCGCTTATGTCGGAGATTCTGATATCCAGCTAGAAAGAGTAGAGGTTTATTATAATGAAGCCAACGGTGGTAAATATGTTCCACGCGCTATCCTTGTTGACCTTGAACCTGGTACTATGGACTCTGTTCGCGCTGGTTCTTTCGGTCAACTTTTCCGTCCAGACAACTTCATATTTGGTCAAAATGGCGCTGGTAACAACTGGGCTAAAGGTCACTACACTGAAGGCGCCGAACTTGTTGACTCCGTTTTAGAAGTCGTTCGTAAAGAAGCTGAAACATGTGATTGTTTACAAGGTTTCCAAGTAACTCACTCTCTTGGCGGTGGTACTGGTGCTGGTATGGGTACTTTACTCATCTCTAAAATCCGCGAAGAATACCCTGACCGTATGATGTGCACGTTCTCTGTCGTTCCTTCACCTAAGGTTTGTATAAATTTTGTTATTATTAAATAAATTAAAGAAATCGTGATTGCATTTATTTGTCATATTTCATTGCGTCGCATAAGATTATTGATCGTATTCTTTGATTCGTTTATGTGAACGGATTTCTTAATGTTTTAATGATACTTAATTAAAAATAATCTATTAAATTTGTGTTTAATTAGGTTTCGGATACTGTTGTTGAACCATATAATGCAACACTTTCCGTACATCAATTGGTTGAAAATTCTGACGAAACTTTCTGTATTGACAATGAAGCTCTATATGATATTTGCTTCCGCACGTTGAAATTAAATACACCTACATACGGTGACCTTAATCATTTAGTATCCACTGTCATGAGTGGTATCACCACATGTCTACGTTTCCCTGGTCAGTTAAATGCTGACTTGAGGAAATTAGCTGTCAACATGGGTAAATATCTTTTAAATTATTATATAATCATGATTATTATATTTAAACGTATTTATATATCATTCTTATTATTTTATTTATTCATTTTTTAGTTCCTTTCCCACGTCTTCACTTTTTCATGGTCGGATTTGCTCCATTGACTTCTCGTGGTTCTGAAGGTTATCGCGCCGTGACTGTCCCCGAATTGACTCAACAAATTTTTGATGCCAAGAACATGATGGCAGCTTCGGATCCCAGACACGGTCGTTATTTGACTGTTTCTACCATCTTCCGAGGTCGCTGCTCAATGAAGGAAGTTGAAGATCAAATGTTGTCTGTACAAACAAAGAACAGCTCATACTTTGTTGAATGGATTCCTAATAATGTTAAGAGTAAGTAAAATAATTTTGATTCCAATATTTATATACTTTTAAATAATAATATTAACAATATGCAATTTTACATAATTCTCTAGCTGCCGTGTGTGATATTCCACCACGAGGTCTTAAAATGTCTGTTACTTTCATTGGTAACTCTACTTCTATTCAAGAATTATTCAAACGTATCAACGACCAATTCGCCGTTATGTTCCGACGTAAAGCTTTCTTACATTGGTATACTGGTGAGGGTATGGATGAAATGGAATTCACAGAAGCAGAATCTAACATGAACGATCTGGTATCCGAGTATGTATAATACATTAAATTATCGGTTTATATATTTTATTGGCATCATAATTATCACTAATATTACAATTTGTCGTTTATCAGATATCAACAATACCAAGAAGCTACTGCTGAAGAAGAAGCTGAAGAATATGAGGAAGAAATCGATCAAGAAGCAGACATCTAAAACCACAAATTTAACACATAATATTCATTATATTTCGCATCCTTCATCATATATATACATATAATATATATATTACATTTTTTTATGATCTATTTTTCTTTTATATAAACAATTTCCTATTTTACCTAAAAAAAAAAAAAATTCTTACATCCTTCATAGTCTTGCTTCTAATAAAGGCCGTTTTTCACGAGTGGAATTATCAAATATATATTATACGAATTACCTTAAAATTTTTTATTTATAATTAGACATTTCATAATATTTGTTAACATATCAGCGAGCATTTCGTATTACATGTTTGGCAAGCATTTTTTATAATAGAAAATAAAAAATTAAGTCTTTTGGACTTAAAGGCCAATCAAAGTTGTTTATTTAGACGTGTATCGTCACATGATTTAACTGATTGCTTTGTGTTATCATTATCATAAATTTGGTGATAAATACGGCCATATGGTCTTTTTTCATTAATTTGGCACTACATTATGCCAAATTGTTCCTTGGCTTTGAATTAGTAACAATGGAATATCACGTAAAATGTATCATCTGATAAAAGTGTACCAATAAAGGTTTGGTTTGTATATAAAAAAATCAACAAAAAGGAAATCGTACACAATCAGATAAGCATTTTTTTTATTACAAATAAAAAAAAGTACAATGGGCGCGACATTGAATGGGTGTGATTATCGTAAATAAAAGTCGGATCCTTTAATATTATGCAACATTAATAAGAATAATCTAAATTTGAAATTAACATCTCGTGATTTCATTCTAGAGTAATTTCCACGTTTTTTTTTCTTAACCTGACGTGAAACAGATGTAACAGATGTACCAGATTTCTGATTTTAGATCTTATACAAAGGCGCAATTTTCAAGTTTAACTGAAAACTTTAATTTTCTGTATAAACACTTATTTTGATCCATAGTCTTTCCTTTTTAAGCTATACCCCGAAACAAAATAAAAAAAAGATCCCTCTTTTCTTAACTTTAAATAGGATCCCCAAACATTTTTATCATAAAATCAATCGTATTACCAATTTTGATAAGTCATCACTCAACAAACACTCAAAAATCGACAACAAATCTTGCTAAATGACAATTTTGGTGTAATTTGAAGTTTGTAAAAACTTGTTCTTATACAAGTTTTTTGCTTTTTTCTGATCTGACTCCTGTTTCAGATGCTTCTAACGCATAATGATAAGTTACTGCGGAAAAGACATGTACAATACTAAGCGGATACATCCGTAGCCATTCAAACAGCCACACGTGATTGAATAATTAGCTATTGTTTTTTAAGTTGAAAGATTTGTGTAGCGGTATATATATGTATGTGCGCCAGAAACTCATACAAACATTCTATGTTAATTCTATTTATCTAAAAATGTTAAACTCACTTTCATGGGGAATCTTCCGATTTTGTGAATGAAAAAATGCCAGAAAATGCGCCCTGAAGTGATCGTTCATAAGTAAATTTTGGATTATACCCGCCCGCTCGCATAATTTGTGAAAGACTGGGTAAATATCTAATATAGTAATCATAGTAATCATTAGTAATCATTTTATAGGTTAAGGATAAAATTATGCTATATGTGTGTGTGTGAGTGAAAATCAGGAAATAAAATTTATGATTGGTTAAATTTTATCTCCTGGTTTTCATTCTCACGCACTCATATGTGTTATACAAGACAATAATTTTGTTATACAATACATACGTATCATAATATTTATCTTTAAGCGTGTAATGATCAATGTCCATATATTCTGATGCAATAGGATCAAATTCTTGTGTCTCATCTTCTTGTGAAACTTTAATATCTAAACCGATCCATAATTCTCCAATACCACCATTATTATCATTGTCTATTGAATCTTGGTTGCAAATATTGGATTTCTCGCGAGTTCCCTTCTTTTTCAATATTGATTTGGCTGATTCAGTGGAATTCGCCTACAAATATTATTAAGAATCATATAAATATTATTTTAACTGCAGTATATTAATAGTTTATTAATCAAAAATAAATACACACCAGTAACTCAATTACTTCTGCTTTATGTGCTTCTTTGGCCTTTTTTTCTTCAGCCAATTTATTTGTGTATTCTTCGAAATTTTTCTTCTTTTTCATTCGTTCATTATCTTGAATCCTACTAGCCCATTCCTCTTCTTCAAACTAATAAATTAGCCAATTATGTAAATATTATTTCTAATATGTAATTAATCTTGAAAGGTTTGTAAATTCTACCTGTTTTTTGGCATTTTTTGCTATTATTTCTTTATTTTCCAAGGCAAAACTCTCAATCCGAGCTTTCGTTTTTTCCGGATCGATATCATTATTAAGATTCCATACTGTATTGAAATAGATTTTCCATTGAGAACCAAAATTTCATTACGCGAAGTCATACTGATTTTTAACATAAAACAAACCTAACTGTTCAACCATTTCGAGATAGTCATTGTATTCCTTTGGGGAATTAAAATCTTCTCTACGCTTATTGAACCTATAAACATTCATTCTCCAGTAAATATATTGTGATGTTTAAAACTGTGACAAAGTTCAAACTCTTGTTATTTACTGTGAAGCAAGTCTTTTACGAATCCGAACTTCTTTCTCGACACTCAAATCTTCAAATGTTGGTTCCACAAAACTTATTTTTCTTAATGTCTTTTTGCAGCCTGGGATAGGACATTCAGTTGCACCATTAGCAAACAATCGATCAATACACGATTGACACCTAATAATAAATCGAATTCATGGACAACCTTTTCTTTTTTACAATACAAAAAATAAAGTCAGATTTTTACCGACATCTTATGATAACATTCACTCACGAGTAGCCTCATATTAGGTGTAAGATATCGTGTATTCCTGCAAACTGGACATTCTTCGTCAGGATCTTGATAACCTTTGCCATTAGGAGTCTTGGTTCCTGTTAAACGAGAAGTCATGCTATCAAAAATTTTGTAAATACGTAATTTTCTAACAATCTGCAGTTTAATAAACATGTGGTCAGCTGTGTAACAATATAATAAAATCTAGTGCTGTTTTTTTTTTTCGCAAAAGAGCCAATAAAATCATGAATTCAAAAAAAAACCAGATTTCAGAATTTCTTGAATTTCTTGTAATATAATTGGAACAGTTGGATTTGGCATCAATTAGACCAGAAGCTCCTCTAGCATCCGGCGTTATTGATCTTTCGGGTAGTGAAGATCCATTTACAAAACAGATTTGACGCATCATACATTCCATAACGATGAGTTCCCGGGCAAATAAATATGATGATGGATGATTTCGTAAGCACATATAGAGATCTGGGACCCGATTTCGACCCAGTATTCATGACCAATCGCTTTCCCACAAGGGGAGATGACCGTTGAATCCAGACGAATAGTGATGACGGCTTTTGACCTATTAGAAGGATTGTAAGTTATTAGTGTGTAATCCTATTCATGCTTACTTTATTAGCGTCACATTTGGAGTTGTAGACCGTTGTTGGCAGAAGATAATGCTTACGTAATTCATGCTGTATCGAAGGGTTTGGACCCAATCTTCACATATTCAAAATGGCCACTCAAGCGTGCATGGTGATGTATCTATATAACTATATATTATGCATTACTATATATATTTCAACACATATCGATATAGGTCTGAGTAGACGAGTAAATCATCATAATCTAGGATGGAGCGGATGGAAGCTACAAATTCGGGAAAGAAGCTGGATCTGCAGGTTTTGCTAAACTTGATATGGTGGAAAGTGAACTCGTACTTGTAAGATTACTCCCTCAACAAGACAAAGAAATTATAGACTGGAAGAAATTGGTACGTATTTGCAAAGATTGTTTTGATGAATGATATAATTTTTTCTTTGATGGGAGGGACGATACCACCGATACGGCTAGATCATTAAATATGGAGCTAGGGAAAGCTCCTGTTTTAGGCATCCAAGTAATACGAGATCGTGTGATTGTTTCTGCGTTAGACTTATTTGAATATGATTTTTATCGGGTTTTTCGAATCTGTGAGTTGGTTATACATTACGTATTTCCTCTCGCCAGATCGTTGAAGAATTTTTAAAGAACGCTCTTGAATTGAGATTCGTGGTTGAAAAAAATTAGCGCAATGGCGGTGGGTGTGAAAGATGAAATTAATCTTTTGCCAGTAATCGAAGATTGGACCCCGTCATCATCAATGGTATTCTCCACCTAGGTGATTCGAATAAAAAAACACAAATTTACTAGAGTATTATATTTCTATCTTGTATTTTATTTCTATATCTATAAAGCTGACCCTGGTGGCTGAATTATCATTGTCCGGAGCGAAGCGAAGGACTTACATTTCTATGACGTTTGATGACCGAAATTACGTTTTTGATGCATTTATAGTAGAAATATCAAAAACGTAATTGTGGCATTTTCCGTCTGTAATGCATCTTTGCACATTCGTGTAACGACAACAAGATTTACGCGTTTGTGCGCATGATATGTCCAATTATCGGATATCTGGTATTACCATTGCTAAATACTAAAATTGTATATTTATTTGCAGATATATATTTATCAAGAGACTAGTAGCCTTTTAGTTTATAACCTTCGTTCCGAATAGAAGTAAGTTCTGTAACAAAATGCTTTATGATAGGAATCACGATCATTCCAACGCAACTAACTCAACCTTAATTACACATACTGCATGTTACGGAATAGCAAGTAAGCTCTGTGACAGAATTTTTACAGTGATCCATAATAGAAATCATGATAATTTCAATGCAACTAACTTTTAACCTCAATGAAAAAAATGAAAATAGGCAGGTGGCGTCGAGCTTTAGGAGTAGATAAGGCTTGGTAATGGCTTGAGGGTGGTTCGTGGGTATAATTAAAACATCCTACAAAATGGCAGACTCGATCCATAGTTCTTTCATTAAACTATGTCCCGATTTATGACCACGAATCTTTTCAAATCTACGTTCCCGAAATTGTTAAAGAAACGTTTCGATCGATGCCTCTACGATCGAAAGGAAACATTAGTACCCAAAAGCTCATTAATATTTAATTCGAATTTAAATAAAAAAAAGCAATATAATTTTTTTACTACATAATGTGTGCTGCTGCAGTAGCGAATAAGTTTGGTAACAGAATTTTTCCAGCAACTTTTAATAGAAATTACAAGAAATACGATAATTCCAATGCAGACTAAATAACCTTTAATCACATTTATTTTGCCAGAATAGGAGTAAGTTCTATAACATATCTTTTATAGTAACTTCCAATAGAAGTCGCGATAATTCCAATGCAGACTAACTTAACCATACTTAAATTTTAATAGGAGTAAATTCTGTAACAAATGTCTTACGATAGGAATCACGATCATTTCAATGCGACTAACTCAACCTTAACTACGTATACCGTGTGTCACCACGGTAAAGTAAGGCAATAAAAATTACATACTATGTATTACTAAAATAGAGTAAGTTTTGTGGCAGAATTTTTACAGTGATTCATGATAGAAATCGCGATAATTTCAATGCAACTAACTTTTAACTACATAATGTGTGCTACTGCAGTAATGAATAAGTTTGTTAATTTTTTCAGCAACTTTTGATAGAAATCACAAGAAATTGTGATAATTCCAATACAGACTAAATCAAACCTTTAATCACATACTTATATTAACGGAATAGGAGTAAGTTCTATAATAAAATTTTTTATAGTAACTCCCAATAGAAGTCTCGACAATTTCAATGCAGGCTAACTAACCACATACTTTTTTTTATCTGAACAGGTGTAAATTCTATAACAAGAAATCCTAAAGTAACTCATGATAGGAATCACGATCATTCCAATGCAACTAACTCAACCTTAACTACATATACCGCATGTCACCAAGGTAGAGTAAGACGATAAAAATTACATACCGTGTATCACTAGAATAGCAAGTAAGCTTTGTGACAGAATTTTTACAGGGATTCATAATAGAAATCGTAATAATTCCAATGCAGCTAACTTAACTTTTAATTATATAATGTGTGCTACTGCAGTAGCGAATAAGTTTGGTAACAGAATTTTTCCAGCAACTTTTTATGGAAATCACAAGGAATCATGATAATTCCAACGCAGACCAAATTAATCTTTAACCACAGCATGTTGGACAAGATCGACACCAATGCTGTCCCCGAAGAAGTCCTGGCGTGGAAACGAGCAGACAAAACAAAAACCTGTTATTATAAACTTTTTTCGCCAATCGTTGCTAATGACCTAGACGATACCTACATTTCTCGTATTTTGACAAAAATTTGGCGTAAGTGGATGTGGAAAGTGGCTTAATAGCATTTGCTATAGGAGTAGCACAAGCCCTTCTAAGCCACCGTTACGAAAAGTTAATAATTGATGAAATGTCATGAAAGACAGAATTGCTAAAAGTTTAAAGACCATATTTATGTTATTGGAATAGGAATAAGTTCTACAACAAATTTTTTCTTAACGGCATTGAATATATTTTTATTAAGTATCAATAATCATGTTTCTGTTTAAGCTAATGATACAGTCGTTATTATTATTATTATTTTTCTGTTAGATTATTAATAAATTACATGTTACAGAATCATTTTTGATTACATATTTATGTATTTATTCATTTGACTGCCTAAATTAGATTTAATACATGGATCCAGATCTAGTTATAGCAATGTAATTTCCAGAGAGTTTGACAAATCATAAAACGTAACCAAAGGGATTCTGGAAACGAGCAAATTTTTCAAGTGTCCCAGAATTTATAAACAGTTGTAGGCTCGTATCTTTTTATTATTAGAATCCGGATCCAGTATTAACTCTAGTCTAAATTAATATCTTGTTCGAAAGCTTTATTATATATTACTGAATCAATTTTTTAAAAAATGATAAATTCAGATATTATCTGATATTCAATTAAAAAATGATGCATTATTATTATTCTATTGATTACATCATAGTTAACATTATGTGAATTATTAACTAACCGCCTGAATTTAGGTGTCTTTTTTGAATGATGCTCTTCTTGTTGATCTGATTTTTTCATCATCAAGAGTAATCTGAAGATATCAATCATTGTACGAGACAAATAATAAAATTGATGAGCTTCCTGCACGTTCGATAATCCCTAATATGGACGAATCATATTCGTCCACGAGAATGTCTCTTATAAAAATATTATCCTTTATTCTACTAAAATATTTATATAAGGAACATTAAACCTGGAAATGTAAATTCAACATCAGCCTATTGCATGGGAACGAGAACTTAAGTCAGGTTTAGACTTAAATATGCTAAAAAAAAAACTCTATTTCTCGAATTTCTGCGGAAACTATAGTTCCTTTAAGTTAGCTTTCCTTTCCAAATCCATTTTTTATAATTATCGATACAACCACCAGTCTTTATGCCTTCCTATAAAAACTTATGATTACAGCTATTTTAGTAAAAAAAAATTGGGCTTAAATTACATGCACGTTCTTTTAGCTTCACTTTTTTTCTTTTCTGATCCCTCTTTCATAACCCATTCTAACTGCCGCGTGATCGCTATCATGACCGTTGCCTTGTTAACAGGATTTTGGACGCACACCATTCTTATGATATTCTAGAGCATCCCAACTTTCACATGGTGTAGTTATAAAGTAAGAAAACTCCAGCTTGTCAGCTATGTCAATTTTCCTTTTTTTTGGCATGAAACTGTAGTGATCCAATAGTATCCCTAATAAATGAGGAACAAGAATGAAGCCTTATATTAACTGGAAAAGGAAAAAGGATAAAAAATGGTTGTCACGTAAAAGTAATAAAGTTGTACCATAGTTTTGAGAAATAATTTTATTAGATAACACCACGCAATAACGCGTGTTAGCAAATGGTAATGTGTGAACTAAATTGCATCAACTTTTCCTATATAGTGTTAGTGGCAATGGCTAGAGAAGCACTCGAATCTAGATAGTCACCATTCAAATACAACACACACAAAAGCTACTAAAACCATACAACAAAACCAACAGGGTGAGGCGAAAGAGATTTGACAAGGTAAGGCGGTTTTATTGGTTTGTTATGGGTACGAAATGAGAAAATGAAGGACTTGTATGACAAAAGGGAATATCGGAATTTATTTGATCAAATTCAAACTTTTTATTACTTTAAAGTCAAACTGCTCTGCCCTTTAACTGGGGCGAATTGCAACCTTATTTATACAAAAATTTCAGATATACGAACAAAAGAAAGAAGAAAAGAATTCTAGATCTCATCCTCTATTCTATCGCGTCATCACTACTGATTTACAGTCACTTGCCCTCTTCCCTACGCGAATGTTAACATCCGACTTACACAGCCACACGATTTGTTGCCATCTCTATTTGTTTATACCCAGCAATGTCACCACCTCATTTATCCTTTTTCGGCGTTGCTTGGTCAGCGTTTTGTCATGGTGAGCGTCCCATGGTTCTTCTCCTTATGCCTCACCTGGGGTTTCATTATACCGTGGTCTTGGGGCCATCTTGGGGCTGTTCCAGGCTTGGCTTGTTTCGTATTTTGGGAGGGCTTCGCAGTACGTGCGGAGGCAGACCCTGCAATTAAGAGTTTTTTTTATTGCGGATTTCCCGTCTCTTCGTGTCCTCACGGGATTATCGAGTTTGCCACCAACAATAGGTTAAATTTTCGTTGCACGAAAAAAACGCGAAAAATACAAAGAAACGGGTATCTAACTTTAATGATTTTTAATAAAAAGCAATATAATATATATTGTATTTAGTATTTATATGAGACCTACAAGATTAATTTTTTGGTGATGCAACTAGAAATGCTAATGACTTGACCCTACTTGTATATTTATTATTATAAAAACCGATTAATCAATAGAGTCGTTAGCATCCCTAAGTGCAATTAGTACATGCAGTAACGTATTTTGTATGTAATTTTTTAATACAGATGCGAGGTAATGCCGTTTAACAGTTAATGTATTATAGTACATATTATGCGCCATGTGTATTCGTAATATACGTCGCATGCTACGTATAAATAATACGTAACATAACATTATTTCATATATATATGTATTATATATTATAAGCAGTGTTGTCATGTCCAATCCAAATCATTGGATCTTGGACGTCCAATGTCCAATTTTGTCCAATGCGTATCACTGATTATAAGCTAATATCAATTTTTATAAAAAAGTCAAATTACTGAAGCTAACATTATCTT